GGTGCACGTGGACCTTTGATAGTGATGCGATATTTAGCGGTTACATTTAACAGGTAAATGCGGAGAAGGGCTTACTGCTTCCTGCATTACCGTCAAAATGGCTACGTTCATGACGCGCTATGAATAGTCGTGCCGAACAGTCGGTGTCTGTTTTACCGATTGAATATGCAGAAGAAAAGTTGCTTGAAGAGAAAACAGATAATAATTGCACTGCGTTGCTGTGCACTCCGGAGAAACGTTCATGCACATGCAAGGATTGTGGAAAGGTTGGTGGTTAAAGTACTTACTCGTGCGCAAATCACAACTGTAAATATTACGTTTTGCTGCAGGTATTCAACTCAGTGTGGTACTTGAAGCAGCACGCAGTGAAACACAGTTCAGAGAGACCGTTCACCTGCAAGTATTGCCACAAAGTAAGAATAAACGGTATAGACGACGGCAACGCATGGGTTTTTGCGGAGATCGACGTTCTAAAATGTTGCCATCGTATGGCATGTTGTATTGACGTACATGCATTTAGACATATCGCTTTCGTTCGAACCTTTACCAGCACAAGTGCCCTTCTCGTGACCGTGCCTCAGAGTTGCTGCATGCGATCAAGGCGAAGAAGAAAAACGCCAAACGGCGACGACTAAACAGCCAGTACTTGCCGCTTGACCATCACAACTGCTCTACATCATCTTCGTCGTCATCATCGTCATCATCATCGTCGTCTTCGTCGTTGCCGTCAACGGCCATATCCGCCGTCACCGACTTTGACGATTTCTCGTGTTCGTTTGACCGCCTGTTCAACCTCAGAACTCATCATGGCGGCTTTCAACGTCACTCGGTGACGCGTGACGACGAGGTACAGCGGTTCATCGAACGACACAAAGATCAACTGCATCGGTGCTCGAAGTGCACGATGTGCTTCCCAAGCAGAGAATACTTGGCCAGACACAACGCCTGGCACGTGTTTGAGGAGGAAAAAGTGTGCTGTCCTCACTGCAGCGAGAAGTTCGACGATGACCTGTCGTATGGTGTGCACAAACAGTCGCATTCGCCGCTGACGTTACACGTGTGCTTGCGCTGTCGCGGCCGGTTCTGTCATCGTCTAGCTTTGAAACGACATCTGGTCAAGTGTTGTTCGCTCTATCCGCAGCCCAGCTATGATCCTTCCCAGTTTATCGATCGATCCCCGCCACCCACTCCGTTGTCTATTTTCAACGAACAGGATCTGAGTTCTGTGAGCAGCAGTGGAAGCAGCGGCTTCTCTCAAGGCTTTGCAGTAGATGAAAATAAACTTCAGCGAAAGCCGTCATCGTTCGGTATTTTATTTGCTTATTTTCGCGTTTCGTTTTGCTGCCACGTTTGAGTTCGCCCTTCTTAGTATCGTTCTTTGTTTTCTTTCACTTAACTTCTTCCTCAGAAGCTCTTTTTCAATTTTATAGCCACTGATCTATTTCAACTGATCTAATTCTAATTATCGGACAGTCTTTTCGGTCGAGTACCTGGTACAAAGTTCTTACATGAGAATCTTTTAAGTAAACTTAACTTCTTAAAGTTGAATCTGATAAGTTACGGCGCTTTCCATTGTCCCTAGCTGCCTCACAGGTTATTTAACGCAGGTCACGACTCGACTCACTGTTAGCAGTTTGGCCATCGCTACTCCTAATATCCTTTAGCATGACTCCATTCCGCAGTGCTATAACGCATGTTTGCGACGTCTTGCTACATTAGGTCGATTAAAATATGCGCTAAGAATGTTTACTGACAAGCCTTTGTGTATGATTTGCGCACAGAGAATTAATAATCTTTAGAACGTTAGCGGCTCTACTGCTAATCACTTTAAGTACGCATTAACCTGTACGATCTCAATGTCAACGCTTGAACTTATCAACAGCTTCGTTTATACGGCTCCTACCGAGAAGTTTAAATCGGCATTCAAGCGCATAAACATCAAGTACGATTTCGTCCAGATGTTTTAATATTTTGTAAAACGTATTTCTTCCAGATATGAGCCGTTAAGCAGGTGTTTCGAATTGTTTCTCGCGGATATTCTTGAAAGCCGAAGTTTGATCGCGTAGTTCATTTCAGATATGTGTCATTCATTGCTTAAGTTTTCCACTTTCTGTCCTGTTGATTTAAAATCACAAGCGCGTTAATCTATAGTGCCACTGTTGCCGGATTAGATAGCCAAATCTTGTGAATGTGCTGACGCGATCGATTTGTATCATAATGCCGATATATCGCATGCAATGTAGCTCGAAGTTTTTGGTACCAAGTCTTTATTTCCACTGGGTACACTTCGTTTCAAACCCCTCAGCATTTTTAGCCGATCAGTATTCTTCTACTTCTTGTCAAACTTTTCAGCTGGTGGATGACCACACTCAGACAAACGCGAATCCTGAGAAATACGCCAAAAGCTAGAACCGTATACTGTCCAAAAAAACGCCTGTCTGGTGCATGTTGCGGAGGCGAGGCTGCGGTCAATTTAAGGGACATAATATCACGACAGAACAGCGTGTTCCATATGTCATTCGATGGCAAAGATTTTTCTGTAAATCTTGAAACAGTTGGCTAAT